TCAAGTGATAGCAACGATGTCTGACTTGCACTGCACACCGATATTTGCCGGAGTGCCTTTCCCGGCTTGCTTCTCAATCAGCTGCAGCACTGGAAGGCTAGTGCCGCCCAATGGGTCATTGGAGGAGAAGTTGTCTTTGTCGGACACCGAGATCTGCAAGAGCGGAAATCGATCCGGGGAAGCTCGCGTCACTGGCAAACGAAGGGTCTCCCACTGGCCGGTGCGCGGGTCTTTCCATTCCGGATTCTTTTCGTTGTTCCACACCACGCTGGTAAGTACTGGCCTCGTAAGGCTTCCCAGTTCAAACTTCACGAAAGGATCAGAGTCGTCCAAGAGGTCTGCACTGCGCAAGTTTCGGGCTTTGATCTTTGTAATGGTCAGGCATCCTGTAAATGCCTTCTTCTCTGCCTTTGGCCCGTTCTCAGCTGTGCCTTCTAAGAGATTTGGAAGCCCACAGCACATGCCATCGCTTTGTTTCTTGGGGGCTGTGCGGGGCAACTGCTGTGCTCGTTCGATCCAAGCCTGGCGGCCGTTGTTTCCAAGCATTCGGTCCAAGTTTGCTGGCCATCTTAAGGCCAAGACCTCTGCTTCAGGCCACTTCCGCTTGTCAGACACCTCGGATGGAGCAAAGTCAGGACGCAAAGGTACAAGAGTCCAATGAAGTGACCCAACCGAAACGTCCACTGAAGGACCAATTGAAAACTTCAACCGGCTGAAGTCATATATATGTTTTATCATGTTTTCACGTTGTGTCCAGAAACGTTAACAGCTTTGGACTAAGCGGGAATGAAAGCTAGAGAATACTTTGCTCATTGCACCACCATCCGAGGCGATGGTGTATTCTCTGGTGCTTGAGCACTAGTTTCACCAATAAGACTTGTGTGGAAATGCTCGAACCCCAATGTGGAACAGCCTTTTGTGTCCTAAGCTGCATCCGCGCAAATGATCCTTGCAAGGAGTGTGTCCTAAGGTGGGGGGAGGAGGGCCCCCTAGATCAATACGCTATCAATTCGTTGAGGGTCCCAATTGATTCTATCGCGCAAAACGGGGGGAAGTCTTTTGTAGTGACAATTAGTGATATATCAATTCGATCCTTTTGAACTGTCATTTCTGAGCCTCCCCTTCCAAAACTTCAACAAACCTCCTTCAGAGCTCGCTTTCGTAACTTTAACCTAGTGGCCAACTGAAGGAAAAGCTCCGCACAGGAAAAACGCAGCCTTTCCGGATCCCACTTGGAATCCACAAAATACTCCGCTCGTAGTTGGAGCAACTCTTCAATCTTGTTAGCATCTGACCAAGGGCTGACCCCATCCAAGGCTTTCAAGAGTTGATTGCCGCGCGTCAAGGCTCGGTTCTCTTCCTCACTAAAGCCGCCACCTAACCTTTGTAAAAAACTCTTCTGTCCCAACTTGGCATGGAATTCTTCGAATGCCACGGAGGCCACATTCACAGCCTGTTCCTCCTGTCGGTAGTCCCGGTCCGGCTGGAAGGTGCCTGCCAAGGTGGTGGAAGACTTCACGGAAGCCTCCCAGTTCTTCAAAGCCGTGTAGAGTTGCTCCAGGATTTGGTGCAACAGCGCCGCCTCCGGGTCGATGCTCCGCTCCTTCCCCTCCTTCCCGTCCTTCGACAGCGGCGACGGCGCCGCGACGCGAGCGCGATCGCGGTGTTGGATCGGTGGAGATCCACTGCCGACACTGCCAGCCTCCACCAGGGTGACTGGGGAATCGGAACCCATGGGCGACTGCTTGGGTGAACTCCAGGTGGTCACGCCCCATGGTCGATCTTCACGACCGCCTGGACTGGCTCGATCTTCAGCCTCCAGGTCGGATCTGGAATACTGATTCCGGGTTCCTGGAGAGGACATGGACAATCCATGACAAAACGCTTGAAATCTGCACCTCTGCCTCCAAAACGGGAATACCGTTGATGGGAAAAATCTTGAGATCAATAGGAAATCTGTGTTCAACTACAGTAAGTCTTGGCAATTCATGGAATATGGCTCTTCTCTATGAAAAATGTATAACATTGTATAACCTAATCCAGGTTCCTCCCAACAACTGCTCAAGGTTGCCCCAAATGCCAAAGGAATCCGGCTCCGCGACGGCACGGTGGGCCATGGCTGGACTCACAGAAGAACAAACAGAGAAATGGTTGTCACCACACGTCTCACAACCGGATCAGAGTCACCACAGCGTGCTCAAAGGAGTCATTAAGAGCGAGCTGATGAAAGAAAAAGAAGAAAACATGCAGTCGTTAAAGGATACAATGGGTCACATTGTCCCTGCTATGCTGAGAAATCGTCTCGTGTTCACGTTGGTTGGGACAATGATCCTGCTACTGCCTGCTGTACTTTGAGCAGCATGGCTCACAGGGCTGCGGTGGCGATGAGTCCTGGATGGGGGTCAAACCACAGTGGGACCCCCGTGCACGGGCTCCCCGCAGCTATAAATATACCGGTCACAACCGGTCTACATGGTCAGGGGGCAGTTCTGCATCGGATGCATCCTGCCTTGAGCGCTTGGTACGTTGGACCCCTGCCCAGGTTCAGCAACAGTGCAACGAGTCTGCAAATCGCCAAACAAACAAGCACAACTCAATTTAAAAAATGATTGATCAAACATATTAAGCCTATAATAAACTCAAGATGGTGCCAGGACAAACCAATCTAAACGGCTCTTGTTTAAGAGGCAAAAGCAGCAAAATGCTATCTGAAAAAGCCCTTCAACAACTGAAAGTGAAGGCAGTGCAAGGCTACTCTCTAAAAGTAGCTGCTTTCTCTCTTTGGTGCCGCGCACTGTTCAGCAAATGAGATGCTTTCTACTGAGGAGCGCCCTTGCGCTTGCGACTCATCTCAGGTTCCTCGCGCACTTCTCCTGGACGCCAGGTCCGAGCAAACCAAGCCTCGCCAGGACCGTAGAGTCGCAACACTGCGAACCATGTCTTCTCAGGAATCGTCTGTATCCAATTCGCCTCTTTCCCTTCCGGAGCACTGGGCGAAAACCAAAGAGTGATCGAACCATCGGGGTTCGACTTGATGTCAGGATGTCGAACTGAATTCCGGGCGGGGGAAAGCTGCTGAGTTTGCAACATGGACCTGTGCTGGGCATCATAGATTACAACTGACCAGAAATCCTTTGCCGGCACGTTTGGTGGCAAGGTCAATGAGTAGCACTTGCCTCCATCGAAAGCTTGATGCTTCTCATCTCGGAAAACCAGCGCATACTGAGAACCCACACCCACCATCTTGAGAACAATCGCGGGAGTATTCAGAGTAGCTATATAGAAGAATCTGGTTCTGGCATCCAAGGTTCTCGCTCCATCATCCAGCCATCGATGATCACTAACCTCAAATAGTGTTTGCCACTCACTGTCTTCACCATAGAGCCTGGATGCTGCTGAACGTGGTGCAAAGGAAACCGCACGGGCAGTGGCATTGCCCAGTGCAACACCTTCCGTCAAAAGCCGCGTCATCCGCTCATCCGGACTAAAGGGCTGGCCCTTTTTGATACCAATGGCCGCCAAGTTCCCCCGGAGCTCGGGGTCCAGAAACTCAATGGGTTCCCTTTGGATGCACTCATTGATCTCTTTGAAGAAGTTGAAATCATTGGAATGAATGGTGTTCATCACTTTCCCTGAGACATTGAAGAATTCCATCTTCGGTTGATTTCCAACAAGCGATAAAGGATAAATCTTCAGCCCCCCCTTCCACAATGCAGCAGCATGGTCTGGACGTCCATCTTTCAAGAACCCTCTGATGATATTGAAGTTGGTGTAGGTCGGCGAATGGAACACATAATGACCTTCTGGCACTGTGCCGTCATAGCCCGGTGGGACAATCAAATATTTGCCTCCAGCTCCCTTGTCCGGCCCGGGCCTCCCCATGTCTGCCACAAATCGGAAATAGGCATCGTTCACCGTTCCTGGTCCCGCTCCGGCGGGCACTTCGATCACAGTGGGGCCGTCTCGCTCCAGATTGAGGATCGAGCACACATAGACGGTATCAGTGTTTCCGGTGAGAAAAAGAGATTTGCCGTCCATGAGGCTCTCAAAAAGAATGGCTTTGTGACAAGCATCGCAACCAGCCTCCACAAGACTAGCTCGCATAGCCTCAAGTGATGCCATAGGTATCATGTCTAAAAAGGCGTGCATTGCTCGTGACCGGTCCAAATTGTCATACACCTTTTGAATAGTCTCCTCATCTGGGAGGCCATCATGAAATTTCAGCTTCCCAATGCTCGTGTCGTACTCGTCCTTTGTGATTATGCCTTCCGGAACCTTCCCAAATGCCATGCCTGGACTTGGGGAACAAAAGATATACGAAACAAATTGCCGATGCGCGGCAATCACAACGTTGAGCCCTAGCTTGAGCAGCAAATGCTTACATAAGCAACACAAGCTGCAAAATCTTGCTAACACATCTCCATGCGTATTGTTGCAGGATAATGCATGATATGGCCATGTGCATGATGCTATCAGAGTCATGTCATATCCGCCTTCTTGTGCTGCTCAATCAGAACACTCTGCCAAAACCCATCAGCCGGAGGCCTCAAACAGGGTGTGGCAATTATCATACACGCCTGTTGGTGCAAATACATAAATATATATATATATGTTTAGTTTATATTGTGTGTGTGATGCACAACGTCTTTTCCACGCGTGCTCCCGAGCCCAGCAGTCCCTGATGTGGGTCTGTCCGCCTGAAGTTGGCCAGCCCGGAAGCCCAAAAGACATGGCTTGCCGTCTGCTGCCCCATGTCGCAAAGCGAATCAATAGCATTCAGAGTACGTGAATGTCTGAAAGACGGCTCCAAGAGCATAAGAAGGCCACTCTCACATCGAGACAGAAGCTGGGTGAGACGACCCGAAACCTAAAAGAGGACCATAAGAAGGCCACTCTGAACGACGAGGTTCCCATGAAAAATCTGAGACTCGTAGCCTTGGGCGACGAGGTTCCCAAATAGACTCAGGTACTGCCATCGGCGATCATCACTTCCGGGGACGTCAAGTGAAGTGAGGTGCGGACAGAACGGCAGGACCATTGCAAATGCAGCAAGTGTTTCTCTTGGTCAACCAGCTGGAGATGCACTTGAAGTGGAACCTAAGCGGGCCAACGAGGCCAGTCAGCCTAATCGGATTCAAGTCTCCTCTTCAACCCTCCTCTTTGTTCGGTCCTTTTTCAGGACTCAGTCCGAGAGGCTCGTGCTTGCAAGGAAGCCTCAGTCAATTCGAGAAGCGCTGCCGGAGGCAGATCCAATCTACCACTACGGGACCTTCATGCACTCTTGGACTCCTCATGCGTGGTAGATGTCCGTAGGAGTCGGATGCTCAGATTGATACATTCAAGCGCAACTCAAAACTCCCAAAAATGTCGAACAAAGAGCAGAAAAGAAACACATACATCATGACAAATAAAACATATCTCCAGTTTCCTTGTGGACCTCACCGGAACTGACGGTGGAGACGACAGGGAGATTCGAGGCTCGAACACCCGAATGTCCTCCTTGGCATCCATCACCTCCTGGCACACCACGCAAACCGTTGCCTCGGTGTAACGCTCTGCACTTGCAAACCGGTGCGCCGCATCAGAAGAAACATTCTGGAAACACTTTCCACATGTTCCATTCACTTCGACAAGACCCAAGCACAAGGGCATACTCTACACATAAAGCACATCAGCGTGTATGAAAGTTTCTTGGGACTGAGTATTAGCTCAGCTAAGGCCAAGACCTTCGGCGGTTCGACCTGCCCCTCTTCAGTTGTGAGCCCTGGTGGAGGTGCCCTCGGCAACTTGGGCACCACATCGGGATGGACCGGTGGTGCTCCGCCACCCACCAGGACCTGAGTCGAGCGCAACTCTAAGACCTCACATTCCGCAGCGTGAGAAATGGACTCATATACCTGCAAGCACGATTACACGACCAGCACTATGTTCCTGGCTCGGTCACCTCTCCATCTTGGCAAGTGCAAATAGCACAGAAACCTCAGCGCATACTTACATCTGCCAAAGTACTTCTCATCCGCTTCTTCCATTCCTTGCTATCTCTCTCCGTGGTATCTAAACCACTATATCTATGTGAAACTATGGGTACATTAAATAGCAACAATAAGAAATACATTGAGTGTTTGCCAAAACGTACAGTCAAGTAGAGAACGTGATTCATCAAGGTTATCGCTTGCTGCAGGGGGCCCGCCCTCGCTTTGGCAGGTCCTAGCAAAATTCCTGATATTCACCACCGTTCTTGACTAAATTTGTCATTGCGCGGTTTGGCGGTGGCTCATATGGGCACTCGCTGATTAGGTGCCCTCTGGCAGCACAATCTACCTCGTCTCCATTCTACGATCGCCGTCTGCATTCTGCATGAGCAAGGATTTCAAGACTACGCGTATACTGACCCAAACTGATGGTCTTTTGGCCTCGAGCCTTGAAAACAACACAGCAACAACTGAAGCCAAAACCAAAGTTGACGCATCAGCAACAAAGGAAGTCGGGCAACAACATATACAACGTACAAAAACCAAGCAACTACCTGCATGTATATGATATGAATCTACTTCAGTGCTCCAGGGTTCTTTCATGGTCAGGGTCCTTTGGTAGACGTCTCCATCTTAGGTCACTTAAATTGCTGTTTGGTACATGTGGGTTGATTCATTGATAGGGATCATCTTAGATTTCTGAGAAACGCGCCGCACAAGCGCAATTCGCTGAACAAGCGTTTGTTGATAATTTGTTCTTGGTTTTAATTCCTGCTCCCCATCCCCAACCCCTTTGTCAGCCAGCGGAATGCCATAACAGGCGCAGCACTCAGTTCAGTGGGGTCGGATGGGTTTCAACTTCAAAACATCAATTATTTCAAGTTGAAGTTTTGTAGACGTTGTAGGGTCAGTGTCAGACAATTAGAGCTTAGCACACTTGAGTTGCAGTCGGTGGGTAGGATGGGGGAAGGAAACAAACATAAACAAACACTAACAGTGTCCATGAACCAATGGTTGGTCGAAAAAACATCAAAATAGAATTGTTCACAGTTGACAGGTGCGTTGTTTTACAAATGTTGTTGTATGTCATCCTGATTGAGGTGTTCAGGTGGAACTTCTTTGACTTCAGTGACGGTCTGGGCCACGTCAGCTGCGGGGAAAACAGATTCCAACCAACCATCGACAAGATGGGGAGCGCTGGACAAGCGCATTGGCTGCCTGAAAAATGCAGCCTGGATTTGGAATCTGTTTTCCCATTGGGGAAATGTGTTGAAAGAGACACCTGGTATCAAAGATAATCTTATTTGAATAAATCTGACGTCTCCTCTTAGCCAGACCATAGAAAATGGTTGCATTCAATTAAAGATTCTTGGAAATATCTCACCGGAAGGCACCGCTTATGGCTAGACCCTCTGTGAGGGTCTAGCCATTGACAGTTCTTCATGGAAATTTGTCGCCAGCCCATACATGCTCATGGCGAGCAATTCTAATTGGTTATGTTCAATGGCGAGATATCTGGTTTGGGCCATGGCGAGATATTCTGGATTGTCCAACGGCGAGATATCCTGCGTTGACCAGTGGCGAGATTTGTGTGTTCATTGGGAGATTTTCTGAGTTGGTCAGCGGCGAGATTTTCCGCATCTGTAATTGATTGTAATTGTTATCATTATTGAGTTCTTTTGTTGTATGTCTTGAAACAAAAACACATCGCGCTGCCCTTACAGGGTGAAGTTCTGAGCTTGCGGATCAACCCCGACATGGACATGGAGGCCCATTCCAAACATCAGATTGGAGTCGTTTGGTTCGACATGGCAGTATGAAGGGGCTGGCCTGCTACATCAACCTTGTGGGCCTTGTAGTGTTGGACCAGCAGGGCAATTTTCGTCCAGAGGATCTTGCCCATCCTCGGGTCCAGACCTTCATTCAGTCGCAGATTGCCACCATCTTCAAGTCAGATGTTGGTACTTCCCCGCTCATTGACAGCCAGATTTCCAGGGTGGTCAAACAGAACCAGGATTCCCAGGTCCAGGCGATCTCGAGCTTTGGAAATCACTGGCGCTTGTCCAGCGCCCGGTCGCTTTTTCAGCGAGTTACTCACCCTTCACAAAATGGCTAGTCATTTCCAAAGATACCAGGTGTCTCTTTCAACACATTTCCCCAGTGGGAAAACAGATTCCAAATCCAGGCTGCATTTTTCAGGCAGCCAATGCGCTTGTCCAGCGCTCCCCATCTTGTCGATGGTTGGTTGGAATCTGTTTTCCCTGCAGCTGACGTGGCCCAGACCGTCACTGAAGTCAAAGAAGTTCCACCTGAACACCTCAATCAGGATGACATACAACAACATTTGTAAAACAACGCACCTGTCAACTGTGAACAATTCTATTTTGATGTTTTTTCGACCAACCATTGGTTCATGGACACTGTTAGTGTTTGTTTATGTTTGTTTCCTTCCCCCATCCTACCCACCGACTGCAACTCAAGTGTACTAAGCTCTAATTGTCTGACACTGACCCTACAACGTCTACAAAACTTAACTTGAAATAATTGATGTTTTGAAGTTGAAACCCATCCGACCCCACTGAACTGAGTGCTGCGCCTGTTATGGCATTCCGCTGGCTGACAGAGGGGTTGGGGATGGGGAGCAGGAATTAAAACCAAGAACAAATTATCAACAAAAGCTTGTTCAGCGAATTGCGCTTGTGCGGCGCGATTCTCAGAAATCTAAGATGAACACCATTAATGAATCAAACCATGTACCAAGCAACAATTTAAGTGACCTAAGATGGAGACGTCTACCAAAGGACCCTGACCATGAAAGAACCCTGGAGCACTGAAGTAGATTTATGGTGCCTTGTGGTTTTTATGGTCGAAAACGTCTCCCCAGGGGTTCTGCGATGGAAAAGTGAAAAATGCCGCAACTTCCAAAAGTCCGAAAATTGTTTCTTGTCCATATCGGGTGCCACGGGCGCGAAGCAAATGTTGGAATTGGAAAACAAGCGTCCAATTTTGTAGGTACAACGAAGAAGCAGGATCAGAACGTAACAAGTGAGAGGCCATGGTGTGGACCCAGCGTACAGTCACAAAAGAACTTCTTGGCGTGCGACACAGTATCGTGTAGCTGTTGTGCGCCGTTCCTGGCTTAAGGGAGCGGAAACTCTGTGCTTGATGTATTTGTTGTTGCTCTTGGGCGCATTTACGCCACGGCTGGAAGTCTCCTTCGGGGCGTGGCGATTCCCAAACTCTAAGTGTGTGCGTCTAGTGTACAAGTACGTTAGCAAAAACAGCATGTTTTGCTGCAAAAAAAGTTGCCCATCACGTCCGTCTTCTGATCATGTCTGGACGCCATGGCTCCACCCCCCGCAACATGCATTTTACCATGATTCCTCATGTCAGTGTTCTATGTGAAAAGCAGCACGACAGTACCTATACTGAAACAGAATGAAAAGAAGTAGATAGCAGGCACTGCAATTGTATAGACACAAACTCAAGTAGATACATCATGAGCATGTTTAAGCAAATTTAGATGTGATTGCTAGTTCACTCGTATAATCTTGTATAGATGCTCTACGCTAATCCTCAGGTATTGCATCAGGCACAGCTTCTTCAGGCGCCTTGAATTCGGACATGTAAACACATGTAAAACGCAGCTATATACCGATACCAACATGCAAGGCAAATACAAAGGCACGGTGTAGATCACATGCGGCGATATGTGGTGTAGGCGTGTAGACTTCACTGTTTTTGATGGTGTTGCTGGAACTGTCCAGCTGGGAAAGGGATGGCAAAATATGAATACATTAGTGGTTGGTGGTGCTGGTCAATAAATGAATGGTGTCAGGATTTGCATGTTGGAAGCCTATTTCACAATTAGAGCACCACGTAATGGACCTGCCTCTGGGTCAAGTGTTGCTGAGGCTGTTGAAGTTTTAGGTGAGGCTACTTTCTACAACATAGGACTAAACTCAAATCCAATGGGACCCATATTGCAGTTTAGAACAGAACGATGCAGGAGCAAATAAGGAGTTAATGATTTTTGGCAACCAATTTCAGGGAAAGCCCTGGTAGAGAATACCAAAACCTCAAAGATTAGCAGAACTGATTTAACGTGCAATTTAAAAGAACATACTTTCTAAAAGGAAAGGAGGGCATGACAGTTGTGTCAATGAAGCTCCCCGCACGTATGTTTTGTGGCCACACGGTTGTCGCATGCCCGGCGACGATGCACCTGACCAGGTGCGTGCTGCGAAGGTCGACGGGTTCACCGAAGAGGTTCACGCTGTAAACGTGCACCAGCAAGTGATTCAAGAACCACCCATGCTGAAGGCAACGTTCACAGCCGTGGTGAGTGAGCGCATATGCAGGAAACAACTCCGTCGCCGCCCTTGCCAAGCCAGAGAAGGATGCACGCAAACGCCGGAAAGAGCTTGTCATGAAGGCCAGGCGGCGCCGATACAAAGCAGTTAGGTTTTCACGTCGAAGCTGCGTGCGGAACAGGAGCCAATAGATCTAAAGATTTAGGGAATAGTTAGGGATTAGTTACGAAAAGATTTAGAGAATAGTTACGAAAGATTTAGGGAATTGTTATGACAGATTTAGGGAATCCGCAGACCCCACACCGTGGGGCGAGGCGTGACTGTCGAGGTTAGCCTTAGCCTTAAGCCTTAGCCTTAGCCTTAAGCCTTAGCCTTAGCCTTCGACTTCAGCCTTAGCCTTATCCTTAGCCTTAGACCTAGTCCTTAGCCTTAGACCTAGACCTTACCTCCCCTACCCCTCCGGACCCTTGTTGCAGTGACGAAATCCCGACCCAAAAGCGACGTGATAGCTACGGGATTTGACGTGATTGCGACCTGATGGCGACCTGGATTGTCCAAGATTCTGCCATCCCAATTGATTTACATCTTGGGGCACCCTCTCCACCCGCGCGGGAAAATAAGCACGGTCCAAAATGGTCCAGGGCTCGAATCCCGGGCTGGTCGCGGCGTGGTCCCGGCCAATGCCCTTGCTTTTTCGTAGATTTTGTCACGTTTTCTGTTGGATTTATGGGATTTTCCTCGGCTTCTCGAGCATTTTCCTAGGAATGCTCTAGGCTTTGTCTAGATTTTGTTACGTTTTCGGCTGGATGCTTTTCCAAGAATTTTCTAGCGCTTCCTCTTGTTTTTAGGTTCCCAGATTTCCCCCAAAAATTGGTAACCTTTTGCTAACCTATTTTTTTCCATTGTTGTACTCATGCCTATACGGCTTTTCCAGCATTTTCGTAGGAATGCTCTTGGCTTTGTCTAGATTTTGGCAGGACCCCGCCCGCGACCATCCCGGGACCCAACCCTGCCACTACATTTTCCCTTGGGGTCGGCGGCTGCAGGCGGTAGCCTGGTAAATAGTTATGAAAGATTTAGGGAATAGTCATGAAAGATTTAGGGAATAGTTTGAAATATTTAGGGAATAGTTATGAAAGATTTAGGGAATAGTTCTAGGATAGTTATAGACTACTTAGGTGATAGTGAAGGCAAGGTAGGCAGGAAATATAGGATAAAGAAGGCATCCAAAAACGTTATAGAGATACATGCTAATATAATACTAATATATATATATAGCGCGAGAGAGAGAGAGAGCGATAGTTTGTTAGTTATATATTGTCCGCATACGGTGTTGCGGTGTGTCAATATATGCAGTATAATGCGGTATACAATATATATATTATATACATCTGATCACCATTGGTAGGCGGTAGGCTCATCAAATTGGCTCATCAAACACCTCATTGCAACCGTTGACCTCCACTTTCACATTGGGGAAAACCCAAATCTGTGCTAGCCGGCTGCTTCTCCCTTGAGCTACCGCCAATCCATCTGTGGATAAGCATCAAGCACCCCTGACTCCCGACCCTCTTTTTTTCAAGAAACTGGTAAAGTGCTTCGCACTGCTCAACCACTGGAATCTGCGCCGTGAGCGCCCGCAAATATTCCTGAATCCTGAAAACCGCGCGGGCAACAGCAAGAGCAAACATGGCAGGACTGTGCAGTTTGTATAGACCTGAGCTCAACGGCTCCGAACAAATTGCTTGCCGCACTGAATTCTTGCTGTCATTGATGCTTGGCATTGCTTAGCTTGACGAATGTTCTGTCAAACTCCTTGCAGAGCGCTCTTCAAGAAATCGCCGATTGTGCCTTATTGAATGTGTCCAAACCCACCATTCGGTTCCTATCTGTCACACAATGGCTTTGTGGCTTTCACACTTTGAGCTGCCTTAAAAGTTCTGGTGCTACTCTTCGAAGAAGAATGAGCACAATGACTTAGCATTCTGAACGACAGTATGCCCACATGCAAACAATGCCATACAATATCATCTAACATCCAAGAACTTTCACGACAACTACGTCTCCACTATGTCACGCTCCTTGATTCAAGCGCATCTAGACCTAGTGAACCTCAGAACCCCCCGAATTTCACCGGTCGTTGCATGCCCAGGGACTGCCCAAGGATCACTGAACGAACTGTCGCTCGAGGCGGTGGCATTGGCAAGTAACGTGCCAAATACGTTTGACCTGGGCCGACCGGATCTCGGATCTTCGCCCAACGCTTAGTAAGGAAAGCGCCAGACGCATAGGAAAGATCCGGCTCCCTCCGTGGAAATAGGACGTTGAGGATATCTGTAAATTCGCTCAATGAAGTTGTAAGTTAGATAAACATTGTTTAAACGTTCTTGACTCTGCTTCCCAGCCAGGGCTCGTTTGAAAAAAAAAAAAAAAAAAAAAAAAAAAAAAACAATGATCTCGAAGATCTCGAAGACTTCATGGAGACCTGTCGATCATACAGGTCTGAGTGGCTGAGTGCTTGATGTAACGACCTCACTTGCTGGAATCGTCGTCGAATCTGCCATTGCGCGTCACCATTGCCTTAGACTCCACCGACTCGCTTTGGTGCTACGGATAGCGAGTGCAAGACAGGCAGTGTAAGGTCCAAGCGGATGGTCAAAGTAAACATCACTGGACTGGCTCCTTCGCTGCCGCTACGCAAGACAAACAACTGCCAAAGCAAGTCACACACGCATCTGAAAGACCAGAACCGCACGTCGTGGAGGACACCAAATGGAGTACCACCATGAATGGTGACTGCTTTTCTGAAAAGTGGGAGCAATATGAGCAATGGCATTGGCCACCGTGCCAACAGGTCCAAAAGGCTCTTGGAACTACAATCTGACTGACTAACCTGGAAGCACAAAATGGCCACGGACCCCGGAAGATCATTTGATTCATACATCTTTATACACAAACTTGTGGTGTTCCACTTCCATATTGGTGAGTCGCAGGGTTAATGGGCAAGTTTGGGGGAGAAAACAAGCTCTTGCTCTCCTGAGTAGCCATCTACCTGGATGCGAAATGGGCATAAATCAGCTTGGCAGCCTGCAGAGCGACGGAACCAACATGTTGCATGTTGAAACAAGTGCAGCCAAAAGCTCACCTTAAAACACTAAGTACAAGCCACAAGCTAGAAGTAGCCGGAGAGTTCGATTGTCAGCCTCAGCCCTGAGTTTAACTTTGCTTCTTGATCCCGCCTCTGCTGGCTGTATCACTGAGCTCTGTTGTGGGCGCGCTGTCAAGTCTAAAGCTGTCGATGCACTGCCGGCAGCGAGAGCACATGGCGCGACGTCGAACGTCGATTTCCGTGGATCTGCGTTTTCGGGCACAAAGTAAGTCATCCGGAGCCTGCTATTCTAAACCATTGTATGCTAATCTCAACAGCTTCTTGGGTTTCCTGGCGGAATTGCATAACTCTACTACATCTCTCTATATCTCTGTCTCTCCGTATGTATTTTTTGTGTGGCGTGCTGTGCTTACACAAGTCCCTAGCTGCTTGGATTCCTTATCAGCCGCGAGCGAAGGCGACGGGGCAACACTCAAAGCATGCATCGCTTCCTTGACATGATGGCCTCCGCCCGAACAGGATGAACCACGAAGTTTCGTTGAATATCTTGGATCAAGACCGGTTGAACGAACTCACGCCGGAGGGCTCTAGGTTCGTCACCTGCAACTCCCCGCTACCAACTGCACCAACCGAAATTGGCAATCAACCTGATCTGGGAAAGGGTGTTCTTGAAACTCAGCTCCACGTCCAACCTGCACAGCAATGGATGCTGTAGATGGGAACTTTAAACCTTCATCAAGTGCCAAAGTCCCACCTCCCGGGACTTCTAAGTGGCAAACCAAGAGTCAAAATCCAATACGGGAGCATGAAAAGAATCAAAAGTGCATAGTGCATTGAGTCGAGGGAGACCAATCTCCTGCCAACCGGCCTCCAGCTGGCCCAAAAACCGATCTGGAATATGACACCACCCTTCGGACCTCCTTGTTCTCGACCAGCTCCGAGTCAAATGTTATCCTTCTCGCAAGAATGCTCGAAACAGCCCAAGAATCGATGCAACCAATAATCTGACAAGGTAGCTTTGCAAAGACTCCGTCCAAAAGAACCTCTGGGCTCTGTGATCAACAGCATGATCCGAATGACTTGAACGACTTTTCCGACTGCCTGCTCTCTTTGCTTAGCAAAGGAAACTGCTGTAGAAAATCCTGGTGCATGCAAAGCTCTGTCAAGGTCACCGCAAACTCTGGGTGTTGATGTTCAGGGCGTCTTCCTCGTCAATGTGCAAATCCAAGCGGGCAGCACTTACGGCCCATTCATCATCTTTGGCCGCAGCTTCCCGCTTCTCAAGCTCTGCAAGTTGCCTCTGGTGCTGCTTCAGTTTCTTCTCATAGCGGCGCAGCTCTTCAGTGAGGGTCTTATTATCCTTCAAGCGTCGCCAGACCTTGTATTGGACCACCAGGCCCACCAGGCCAGCCAGGGATTGTGCTAAGCTGAGTACTGCAATCCATGAAAGTGCATTGGCGATGTCCATACAAAAAGAGCTATCCACTTCCTCAACCCGCTTCCACATGGGTGCACAGTTTAAGCGTGACGCCAAGCCATTCAAGGAGGTGAGGATTGGCAGCAGTTCTGATTTCAGGTCCGTCGCAAAGGAGGACGTGATGGCCTCTGCTTCCTCACTGGTCTCTATCATCGCTTGCTTGATCAATTTTGCTTCCGACACCAGGTAGAGCTGAAATTCTGCCACGGAGCAGGAGCGAGCTTGAACAGTGCCATCGGTGCTAGAAAGGGTGTTGCATAGCAAGGAATCGGTGCTGGTGATGAGTTTCTCCTTGTTTTGGGCATAGCGGAGTGCATTCTGCACTTCCAACGGCAAAGACTTCAGCTCTGCCGCACTGGGCCGGTCTGTTTGGATCACGAAGCCCCCCCCTGCAGTGCCGTGCAGGAAGCGGTACTGTCCCGGTCCTGCGATGAGTTCCGCGTAGGCGTTCAGCCCCCGGATCCGGGTCACCTGGTCCGGAGCCACCTCATCACTGGCTGCTAAGCCAGAACCCAAGAGCAAGTTTTCAATGTTGGGATTCAGAGTCAGCTTTCCCCAAGACCCCGTAGTGTTGTCTGCGGCTTGAGGATCTAGGACAAAGGTGCTCCCAAAGTCTTCAGCTAAAGTGATGAATTGCTCGAGGAGATCAGCAAATTGGACCCCAACTGGGGGCTCGGTTTTCCGATCATCTAGTTGGTAGAAGGCATCAATCAGAGTTTGTGGGAACTGCAATGACTCTGCGCCCAAACCAACAGCTGCCAGCATATCACCAGTCCGATTCTGGGACAAACAGGCCTGTGCTAGTCGCACAGCCTCCTGTGCTGCTTTCACCTCGGTGCTTGAGGCACCTGGTGGTGCAACTACTCCAAAGACCGAGGCATACCGCTCCAAGCCTGCATGCGTCAACAAGTCCTGTCGGACGAAGACACAGGCTTCCGCCACCGGGATGGACAAAAACAAAAGAAAGGAGCCAATCGCCATGGCCATCACCGCATGAGCAAAGCCACAGCACCATGATGTGAGGTGGAGCCGACCACTTGGCAAGCGGGCCATGTTCTTCCTCAAGCGCACACGTGTCCGTATCAATGCCACCCAGCCAATTACAGCTCCGACACCCGCAAGCACTGCAGCAAAAGTAAAAAGAAAGTTTCTGATGGACTCGACTGTGTCTATATGAGGCCGGTTCTTTACCCACAAATATGCCAGTGCTTCTTTGACCACAGCTTCGTTGAAGACACTGAAGGAGAAGTTCGCACTTTTCAGGTTCTTCGCCAAATCTGTAAGGTTCTCTCCTGTCAGGTCTCTCTCTGCATTTTGCCGAATGTTCGCAATTGCCGCAGATGAGGATTGCGACAACTCCTTCAACATGGCATTCAGCAAACCATTCGCAGGAAAACCCAAAGGTGGTGCTGCCTCCGGCCCATCCAAGCCCCTACCGAGGGCCAAATTACAAAACACACATCTGTGATCAAGTAGGCGCCGTGGGGCAGTGACTCCAGCCACCTGCGAAAGCGTTTCGACCAGATGTTGCAAGCGCTGCTGCAGGAAAGCATGCTTGGTGGAGAAGGTCACCGACGTCCTAAGCACCTCGTTGAGTCTCCGGACAGATCGACTATCAGCATCAAATGCCGTACCTACGGTGCTCAACCGTCTCAATGCAGGTTCCATCCCCAGAAACCATCCCGAGCCATGCAGGATTTCTTTGGCAAAGTGATGAGCTACGCAAAGGTTCAAGTTCACCGCTCTATGCAGGGTCTGGCTGGCATCTATGACGGGGAAGCACAATGCAATGATGAGGGTGCTGGCGATACTCCAAACCACAAGGCCAATGATGATATAGGTCCGAGACGTTCTCTTGGGTTCAGCTCGTTCTCGACAACAAATCATCTGTCTGCAACATCGACAGCAGGCCACGAAGCAACATGTGCACCAAAGGAATAGAAGGACAACAAAGAAGATCAGTGGGAGTCCAAAGGGAATGATCAGTGAGATGAAGTAGTCCATCCAAGCATTGCTACATGCTTCAGGATCCATCCGAGCCATGCCACAGCGCTGCTGTGTTTCGGAGAGAAGCCTTCCCACTTGTTCTTGGCGGAAGTTCGTGAAAAGGCTTGGCAAGGATCCAGGACCTCCAACAGGCTTCTCACTCAGATCTGGCACGGGATATTCAACACCTCTTCGGATTTCTTCAGGCTGTTGGCTGATTCTAGAACATACGAAGTCCGTGCTGGCCGTCAAGGACTCGCTGTCTACGGGAGCATCCTCTGGCCAGATTCGGTTCGGAGTGACCGTTGCCGGCAGTTGGCTCTCAGCCGCCCAAAACAACGGAAGGAGAATCAAAATCATTTTTGGGGTTGACGCCCCAGCGCTGGCGCAGATCTCATTGCTGCTCTGACATGTGTGGCCACTGCTGTCGGCAAGCCATTCAAAGAAATCCACGCATTGGAATGTGTCGGCAACTGTTGCCAATGCTTATTATATATATATATATATATGGGTGTGTGTGTGTGTGTTTGATTCAACAAACGTTGCGGGGCCCCAAGTAGAGTGCATGCAGACTGGTCCGCAAACATTCAGGAGCAAAACAATTTGGAACTAATCAGGGTCACGGCTCCACTTTGTTCACTTCTGGTCTGGTGTGTGAACTAAACAAGGGACAATATGACCTGACCTGCTTATACTCACATTTTCATGATAGATCGTGATAGTACATTGGTTCAGTGCCTATCCTGAAAGCCAAACAAAGGGGCCACGCAAAGCCGCAAGCACTGTCATATTGTTTGCTGGTGTGGTCACACCCTGCATGCCCTCTTCCTTACAAGTCTTCCTCACATCACCCCCGTCGAGTTGGAACAAGCATTGGACACCAAGCCGGTCCTGAAGAACCAAGCACCCCACGGGGACCCCAGGGCGCTCAGCTATGGCCCGCCTGCGCTACGGCTGACGGGAAGCTCTTCCATGGTCCAACTCCTCTTTTGAGCTCATAAGGTCGGCAGCCGACTCCAACTCTGCACCAACTGCTGGCTAGCTCTCCACAAGTCCTAAATCTGCGGATTTCCTGGGAGCTTAGCTACGCATAGAGAGACAGCGAAAAAAGAGAGACAAAGAAATTGATAAACAAAAAATCATGATAAATCAACACCCATGGGCTGTAGCATGCAGTAATTAGTTATCAATGTGGGCCACGCCCTTACAAGTAGGACCAGCTCGATCCTCTGGGCGGTTTTAACGCTGCGTGGAGCCGAACGCATGGCGAATCGCTGCCCGCTTCAGCACGGAGGAAGTTGAGCCTATAATCTCAGCGTCCGCAAGCTCAGGGAAGGATTTTCCACTCAGAGTCTCAGAACTTGAGGATGGGCGAGCTCGAAGTGGGGCAACTCCAACACTCCAACCATGATGCTATTCAGCTATTCAATTCCAATCAATTCCATGTGCTTGCCTCCTTGGGGTGCCATTGGGAACAAGTCATACAACCAAGAGATTGCTCGGATGTGGCTGATGTCGTCGTGCCCAGGGCAAAACGATCTTCAACAACCAACGGAAGTCCCATCCGGTGACTCTCCAAATCCAAGCGCGAGCCACATCCTTGGGTGTGGAAGAACTCTGAACGGCGCCGCTTCGGCAGATTCAGTACAACACCACACCCTACAATTTAAAGTAATCCATATTGCAAGATCAAGTACACCTATCCAACCTCCACCCGACCTCCTTGTAGGTCACAAGACTGGTCAACCCCTGGTAGTTACCGCAACTGGGCTTGATTCATGTTCATCCCGCCAAAGCTCACGCCAAATCTTCCAGCGTGGTTCCATTGGTTTGCTCGAGGCCACTGGGTGAGGCTCAAAATCAATGCCAATTGCCTCATCCAAACTGCCAGTTTTGCAGATCATGCCCCCCCGAAAAATGTCCAAACAATGTTTGGACAGGTCCTGGAAAATGCCTTGAACCTGCTCAGGTGGCTTAATAAACCATGATAAACCATTACGGCACTTCAGTTGCATTGTCGCTGTCAAATGGTGCCCTGTCCAAAGCTGTATATAATAGCAAGCTGATCTACCGGAATCTACCGAGCTATACAAAGCCCACTACTGATTACTGATTCTTATCGTAGTCAGCCGCTGTCAAGCAGTCCAACATGTTCAAGTCTAGGTGGCCCCAAGCATGACGCTGGCAATCGCAGTTGCTCTGGGCATGTGGTATGAGGATGTCACAAGGAGGACTTTGGAAATGCCGGCCTGGGCAAGACCCACACAAAAATAGAAAAAGAAAAGCTTGTCATGTCCAGGAAACAAACACGATTGTTCCATGCTCATGTCGTGTCTCACTCTGCACATCGGGACCTGCCCAAAAGACCTCATAGAATTGCCTCCTTAAGTTGTGGAATCATCGTCGAGAAGTTCGTGACGGTGTCTAAGGCCTCTCAGGCGATGCAAGAACAGAAAAACCAGCGGATGAATGCCATGTTCCTGCATGCCAATGAGCATGCAAACTTGCATTGAATCTTTGGGAGCTATCGCAAACTGAACGTAATTGATGATTGATCGATGTAACATGGCACTGGCCTCATGAGAAAGAACCAACTTGCCGATCTTGTCCAAACGTCTCAGGCGTTCTTCCGCCCCGGCTGAGGGAGAGCTGGCGAAGACTTCCAAGGGCGGAGAAAAGTCGAAAGCCAGCTCCGCAGCAAAGGTATCTCGTTCTGGCTCTCCACCCAGCAGCAGAATCGCCACCACTCCGGTCACCCGCCCAAGCATGGCGTGTTTCGCTGTACGGCGTCGCTGTTGCGTAGCACTGTATTGATCCGGATCCTTCATGTGCATCCTGATATCCTTTTGAAGCTGCTTCAGGGGTGCTGTGAGGTGGCTGTTTCAGGCAGCGCTTTTGGAGCCTGTAAGACAAACGCGGCTGTCATATGTATTCCCATATATTGTAATTGAAGAAAGCTGTCAGACCTATGCACCAACCATGGCAATTCAATGCCTTTGAAATCCTTTGAACAACAGCATGCAGCAAGTACATGCACTAGCATTGAGGACTTCCCCAGGCCTGGGACACTGAAGAGACTCATGCCTGGGATTTTGCTTGAAGGGATCCACATGCCTCCAGACTTCTCGGCCCACATGCCTCCAAAACTTCGGATCCACATCGCCTGTCGCAGCAGCTGTAAGGGGCCTTTCGCTTGGAGCCTTACATTGATCTAAGGATATCTCTGTCACACATCGAGAGATTCTCATTTTCGATGCCAAAAGCACGGCTTTCATTGACTGCTCACTAGCTCAAGTAGGTCAAAGCGGTCCGATCGCGCTGGAATTCAATTCCATGTGCCGTCCACATGCAATTGAAGTGCACGAAAAACTGTCTGCCCGTATCACTAGCTATCCATGCATCGGCACGTTTTCTTGCAAGGACATTCGCATGCGGAAATCCAGTTGCAGGCTTTGCCCGAGATTCTGGAGGTCAAGTGGAGCCACCTCCCCGGTCTCGTGGAGCCACCGATGTAAAAAGAACGCTCGTCGTTGCCGTCTTTGGCTCCGGTTTCGGCATTGCACCGAAACGTTCTCGTTCCGTTGTTTCAGGTGTAGGTTGCTCCAGGTGAAACTCATTGATTGGCGCTTTGCTGCCGCGCAAAGGGGTAGAAAAAAAGAAGAGAGAGAGAGAGAGGGAGACGCTGTGAGGACCATGCTCTTTAGTGTTTTTGGACAATGTTTGAAGGATTTTGCTTTCTCAGTGTTTTTCTCAAAAGAACAGGCGAAACTCGTTAGCTCACACCATAAATTTCAAAGCGCCGACTCGCTGTCCTTGGTCTTTCGTTTGGTTTTGCTCTGGTGCAGTGAAACCTGACCAAATAGATCCAAATAGCCTCACTCCAGCATGGGGCCAATGTCTGCAAAGGGTGCCTCAACTAGCATGTAGCTGAAGAGGAGCCTTTCGACTTGCAATCACGACAGCGAAGAACATCCCACAGATCACCGTATTCGTGCAGTCATCTCAAAACTCTCAACGGCTGTTTGCTTGTGGCTGTGCCAAACGAGCGTGTGAGCCTTTAAAGACCAGAATTCAAATGATGTCAACTTTGCCTTTGCCAGGCAGATTCGAACAGCTCTTGCGCATGGACGAAGAACAAAATATAATTAGACCTCAATATGCCTCACAAACCCAACAGTCTTTGAATGTCTTTGATCTGACATGGTCGACACACTATTCTGACCTCCCAAATCAGTCGAGAGGCCAAGTCCGAGAAAAGCTCCAAGAAGACCTGCTCAGTCACTGCGGTGTTCGCAACCGACTCCTGGCGCTCAGCACCGAGCTCCACGGCGCCGGTTTTTTTTCGCTCGAAGCTCAACGCTCGGCTCTGTTGAAATGGGTCCTCATCTTCAGCACCGAAGGCGAAAATGACTGTTTGCTTCAGGTCCCCATCATCCAGCCTGGAAGAGAGCTGCTCTCTTAGGTAAAGGATCAGCAAGTCTGAAGAGCCAAAAAAATGAAGATGGATTTCATGATCTTGCCCCCGGCCCGCTTGAGCGGCAGTGGATCCTTGTCCCAAATCACAGCGACGGAATATCTTTACGATCACAGCGGCCAGTCTCTTTGACCAATCTGTGTCTCTCCATGCCTCTGCAACCAGTCTCCCAGGCGAGCACTACCATTCGGACCCTGAAGCAGTTTGAAGGCAGTCAGAACGCGTCGTTTCTCCTCAGCAGTCATCACGACCAGAAAGGGATATTATGGGCCATGGTCATGTCTTGCGGCATTCCCCTGTCCTTCTGCGGCAGAGCAGGCCGCAAGGAGCTCATAAAGGTTGAAGCCTTCAGTTCAGCCTTCCGACGCGAATTCAGCGACGAGCGAATATCTCTCAAAATTGCTGCTTCACGCGACAGAATGGCAGCAACAATGAACGGCATGTCGGTCATGCATTCCCCAGAAAATCGAATCCAAGAGCTATGCACTGAATCAACAATGCTTACAGTGGCATTAGAGTAGATGGTACAACCCCCGGGTAACCATCTACTCTTCCATCTACTATTCATGAGTTTCAACGGTTTAAGCGTCTCAGATCCTCCACAAGCCGGTCTCTGTTCGGTCCTTCTTCATGGTGCAGAGTTGGCAAAGCCAGACCTTGGGCGAAGCAGTCTGCGCTGTCGACCCGCGATTCAGTAGGAGTAGTGTGCTGCAGTGATTTTGCCCTCCAAATGCTTTTAAACCTTTCTTGTCCCACTAGGCAAAGGACATTAAAGGACTCTACTCCTGACTCCTGACTGGCATGAATCCCGCCCACCAGCATAGGGAAAACCAGGAAACCAAGCTCAGTTCTCCGTGTTGGGGCCAACTAAATTCATCAACAACTTACCTTCCCGACAAGACCAAACCACCTGAACAGGTCCCCGTTCAAAGAAATAAACAATACGCTTACAACTTATTGTCAAACACTTGGAGGAGTATGCCAAGTTCATCCAAGTTCATGGCTTCTGCCTACCTCCATCTGTGGCTCCGACATCCAACGGCTTGGCCTCAACTTCCTCCTCCGAAAGCCCAAGCGGCTCGCGCAAGACCTGTTTTGTCAGGCCAAGGGAACTACGAAGCCGAGCTCACACAAGTCGTGGCATTTTTGGAGCAAACCGATCTAGCCAGTATAAATGCCAATACTCACACAGGTATGCAAGTATGCATGCATCAATGTAATGGCATGGAATGTAATGCATTGTATTGTATTTAGTCATGTAAGTAATGTAATAGTCTGGGGTGTATATGCTGTATATGTATGTGTACAATGCTATGGTATGTATGATGTGTATGTGTGTGTGCAGTAAAGGTTATATTATGTTATATATGTAATCAGGTGATATCCACACATGGAAATCGGTGTTGATGTCATCATGGCATAGTCACTTCATCATAGAGTAAGGCAACAAACCACATACAAAGACTTGCAGCACTGCAGCTGAGAAGCTTCCACCACGTCGCTCTTCCGAATGAACCCTGCAAATTCCGAAGAACATGAGGCGTGTGGTCTTTTACATCATTACAGGTTTTGTGGCGTGTCCAAGAGTGTGGACATCTGAGATGTGTGGTGAGATCCTGAGATCCGTGTCCTCTCTTTAGTTTCTATTTATTAGAGAAGTCTCTCAACCTGACTCAAAGTATCTCAAAGTGATGCCTTCGTGATCGCAAAGTTCACAAAGGCGTTGCCGGAGGTTCACATAACCAAGAGGACCCCAAACCTGCGCAACTGCATTGAACATATGCAAGTCCTCACTGGTCCGAGGACTGAATGTAATGCGCACAAAAACTCCTTTCGCCTTCATGGTGCCCCCACTATAGGAACAAGGACGCTACTAGGGGCTCCCGGCTTACTACTAGGAGCAAGGACGCTACTAGGGGCTTTTGACCTTGCTACTATGGGAGCGAGGACGTTACTGGGGGCTCCTGGCCTTACTACTAGGAACAAGGACGCTGCTATAATTAAGTGTGATTGGGCATCTGCAATTCTAGCCATTCCAAATCAGGATGCACTTTTTGAAGCCCTTGAACTCCTGAGAAGACTTGAGAGAGGAGGGGGTGAACGAAAGGTAGCAGGCAATCACAAGTAACCCTGGTAGAAGTCCATGACGGCGTGAACCGGCGCAGGGGGGATTTGATCCAGGGGGGGGCCCCCCCCGACGAACAGAATCAACTCTTACAGGACCAAACTCAATGCACAATCCCAACTCCTGATTGTAATACATTTTTGCTAAAGCAAGGAGAACTCAGGTAGCTCAAGCTACCTTTCGTGACTATCTTGGGAGCCCAAAACATGAGCGAAAGCCAGGAAGCCCGCGACGGTTTATTATAGTTATACTATAATATTATAACATTACAGTATGTTATATATATAATATATATATATATATGATTATATATGTTTCATGAATTGCTCAAACAAAACAAAGGACATCAAGACACCCAAAGACATCAAGCCAAACTCTCGGTCTTTGGGTGGCCGAGCGGGCGAAACCAAACCGCCCACCTCTTGAACCTTTCGGTGGATCGCACCCTTCAGCGCAGCTAGGGATGGGATCCCAGCATGGGGATCTGAGGCATTTTCACCTCCAAGTTGCCTGACAGCAGCGATTCTTGTGCGTTCGTCAGCCTGCACCCAAAACATGTCCTTCTTGTCTTTTCGCTGAAGAAAAAAAAAAGCAACATTATGCCGGTTCTCAGCCTCATGGGGTTGGTCTCTGGGAGTCTCTGGTACATCTCATTGAGGCCTTCGTCCTGCAAAAAGAGAGGAGAACCACAAAGAAATCTTACTTTCGGCAAGCTCAAAGAATCAAACTCAACGAGCTTGAGTGTGTCCAATCATTTCGCTCTCAAACAAAGAGCATGACACAAAATGATTGGAAAACAAACCCTCAACACAAAGACTCCTTTTCTCCGGGGAGGGCGAGGGCATCAAGCACACACGCAACACACCAAAAGATGTCCTTGTGAACGTGCAGTATGAACTTGTCGCATCCCTCGGGTCGGCAGGCCAGTTGCCAGCTCAAAACCAGCAGGTCATAGCCATGTGAGTTCCAAGCAATGTTCCAACGATGTATGGTCTACCATCTGAGATCTACAGTATGTGTTATGCATTCCAACAACCGTTCCCATCGGATTTGCTTTCACAGCCCACAGCCTTGGTGAACTGCGCATTGCGGTGGAAGGGTCCAACACCTCAGTCCACTGAGCATGGAAGAGGGTCCACCAGCGCCCGTCGCGGCAGTCTAAGTGATGCCAAACGGATTGAGGGCATACATTGGCATACACTCTTAGCTGCTCATGGAATGCAGTATGCAGTATGTAAGGTGTTTATGAATTTATGACTTTTGGATACTTTTGAAGGGCTAGTTGTAGGATCCTGCATGATGCTAACATGATTTAATCTGTTGCTTGAGAAGAACTTATATTAACGTATAGTAATTACAGGTGTTCGTCTGATGACCTAGCTGACCTAGCCCCACACAACTCAAGTCACTCACCAATACATTTGCAACTCGTTACGTGATCTTGAGTGGTAGCTACAAAAAACGTGCCAAACAAAAGTGACGAAATTGGTTTCGTCAACCAAGTCTCCAGTGGGAGCAGATGCTGCCACATTGCCCCGGAACTCGGGGTCTGCCATAAACATCCTGCGCGAATTCTGCGATCGGTTTCCACCGGGCCATCTCCATCTTCACCCATCCGATCCGGCGATCCGGCGATCCATCCGCCCAAAAATTGCAGTGCTCCTGGTGTTGGTAATCTGGTCCACACGTGAATAGTGCGCATGGAAGGGGACCTCCAAACCTGGACGAGGCTTTCAAAGGCTCGCGCTTCGCGCGTCCTCTGCTTTCAGCTCGCAAGGTCACAAGTCTCCCTAGACTAAAGTGACTAAAGCCTCCTGATAGAACTACATAGCTACGGTATACTATGCCACACCTGACAAGAGTAAAGCCCCAATGGGCAAGGAGACAATCTGGCTTTCACCTCACCCGTCCGTGTCCATCTCAACACCTCCGGTCATGGCCTTCATTTTCCAGTGACGGCATCACGTCAGGTTCCGGGCCGCAGAAAATCTCCTGCTTGTAGCTCTTCCTGAAGCTGCCCGGCGCTGTGTTCATTGTCTGAGGCCAGTTTATCCAAACCGATGCCGTGCATTATAGCACGGCCGGGCCCGGCTCTGCCGCGATGCCAAACGGCCACGTTCCAAACGGCCGGGTGCTGAGTTGCACCGTAGTTGCACCGCTCGGATTGCCACCAAGTGTCGATGTGTGGGATGCCTGGTGATGCAGCAAATCGAAGCACTGCATCAATACAAGTGAAAAAGCGGTGGATGACGATGGTGGTGACAATGATGATCGTTTGATATATAGTTTGATATTTATATAATATATATATATATAGTTTGTAATTAAAGGGCGGCTTTACCCAAATGATGTGGTGATCATCTTTCACTCACTCGGACGAACCCCAAAATCCATCGAAGAACAGCCTGCTTCTGCTGTTGATGCCGTCTGCTGTTTCTGCCCGCCTTTTGTGCCACTGTATAGTCCGGCTTCTGGTGACCCACACCCGTGGTGGTCTCAAAGTAGCGTGCCTGGTGTCGGTCGGTCACCAGGCACGCGCGGAAGGCGGCTCGTGGAGGGTCCCGAGCTGGTGGAGGCTCCGAGAGGCCTGGTAGAACACCCTCAGGCTCAAGTGGTAGATGGGATCCGGGAGATCGGGATCTATATCATACTATATACCCAAAAAACAATCAAAAAACAAATGCAAACAGATAAAAACAGTATATACATCACCTGCGGGAGTTGTGTACAATCTACTCTGAACCCACTGCAGTGGGTAGCTCGATTGGCTCCAATTGCTCGAACAGCCGCAAGCTCGGCCAAGTCACTTGGTTCATCTCTTCGAGGATTCCTTCCTTGCAAGCCAAAGGCAAACAAGGAAAAAGCAGGACCGGCACGTTTACATAACCATGACTCGGAAGTTCGGATGTTCTACCTTTTGCTCGATGGAACTTCAGCTGGCCATGATCTGTGCACGAAAACCGAAACATCTGGCGAAGACCGGCCTCACTCTGCACATCAAGCTCTGCTCCGCCATAATGTGCAGTTTTCAGCGCTACGTTCAAAGGGCCCTCCCGCAGAATGCTGGGAGTGGAGTTGTCTACCTGCACACAGCAGGTGGATGCAGCAGTGAATGATGGATGGGTGGATGATCTCCGACAGGCTCCTGGCACTGGGTAATTACGAGAAGTCATGAAAAATTGTGAAAGTGTGTTTATTATCATCTCGAGTGCCAAGCAGCAACGGGCAACCAGAAACGAACAGGCAAAGCAAAGAAACCCGCCCAGCCAAGCCAAAAGAAACCCTTACCGAAGCGGCAACCGCAAGACAAACCCTAAGCAACACTAAAGAATCGAAGCGCTAAGCCAAGCCCAAAAAACGGCTCATCCTGCAAGCCAAACAAAGCCGCGGACCGAAGCTGGAACAAATTACGAGTTGTTGAACGCGGAATGGGCTGGATGGGGGTTGCCGGATGTTGGGGCTGGATGCCAGGTGCCGGGTGCCGGGCCAAAGTACCATATCGTTTCTTTTGGTATGCGGGGGTTCCTCCTACCTCAGACCTTGAGCAAACTTTCACGTGTGAGATCCCGGAGTCTAATCTAAATGCAATCCCTTCGGCTTTCGGCACCACCTCCGTTGGACCTCTTCCAGAGCCACGGGTCACGCGGGTCACGCCTTCCCAATGGTTGCGGATGCCGGCTCCCACTCTAAGGTGGACTTTGGCCCGTAGACACGGTCGAAAGTGTCATCACCTTTCCTGCGAGGCCAGGCTGATGGTATTGGACCTACCAAGTGACTCTCAGATCCTATTCTCCAGACGCAAAGTCGCTTGAATTACCTGACTTTGGGATGCGCAAAAGGCTCTCCTTTCTACTTCAAACCCCAGCGAATGTCCTTCCGTCTCAGTTGGTCCAATTCCGAGAGTCTTCTCGGGTCAAACCGGACAAACAAGAACAACTTCCTCCGACTCCAACCCGTCCTGGGAACTGGCGGCACCTTGGTCCAGTCTTTCAAGAGACCGGACCGAGGGAGATGGCCTCGGCTGTCGCTTGCGTGCGGCTCAAAGCGGGAACGGCACCCGTGGCCGTTGGAAGGGCTGCGAAGGCCAAAGCGCAAAGATTCAGGCCCTGGAGCACTGGAGCCCAGCTCCAACATGTCGGAAGATGACACATCTCGGAACTGGAGTTTTAACATATGCTTCAAAATAGTTTTAAACTTAGCATAGCTTCAACCAAATCATGGGCCCCACATGGTTCGTCGAACCTCCACGAGCCTTGCTTGGTTCTCTAATGGGCTATCCTCCTGAGTGCCCTGGCGCTGCGGCACCGTTCGACCCTCACCTGATGAATCGCGGAGGACCCGTTCCTTCGGCGACGCTGCCAGAGACGCTGGCTCTGCCAGAAACAGTTGTCAACTGCACTTCTCTTTTTCGGGGGTCAAAGGGCAACTCGAAAACCGTGCTCGAAGATGCGTGACATGGGCAGCATGTTCTCTTTGTTGTTGATTGTTTTTTGTTGAGGGCTTGGAGCCATGGCTTGCCACAGAACTTCTAGTATAGCCTGTTTCGGTAGACATGACTACACGGCACTCCTCGAACCAATTGCCGATCAGAGTTCCAGCCTGGCAAAGTGAGAAGTTGAGAACTGATGTTGGAGGCTGAAATTGAGCGTTGAGGCCCTGACCCCGGTGCCAGGTTGCAACCTCACATGAAACATTTCAAGGAGACAGCATCATCAACAGCCATCAATTGGGCCATCAATAGCTTTGGGATACTTTGCAGTCTCTGTTCAGTTAACAAGGGGAGCTTTAGATGAATACCTACTCCTGTACCTCAAGACCCGTAATGTCAACTATCCTTCTGATACTGCAGACTAAATTCATTATAGAATTGGTCGAAGCGTAGAACTTTAGACGAGTGCTGGTCGAAATCTCATTCGAGAGGTACTTCTTTCTTTGTTCAATCCGTGCGCAAGGCAATCTCACAATAGTTGAGGGAGGAACCATTCCTGAATTTTTATAACTTTCGCAGTAGCATACGTGTGTGTACCCACCAGGAGTCCCACAACACGTTCCCCTCAGAACGTGTTGTGAAGAATCTGTGCAAACAAAAAGCTGTGCTCCACTGTGCAACCTGCTCAATATCTGCCAAGCCACTGTGAATTGTATGCATCATCACTGAACTGAGCCATTCTACAACCTTGGTCTGAGCGGAAAGAACCTGGAGTTCATCCAGTGAAACTCTGCAACTGCTTCTCCGAGGCCCCCGCACCACCCAGAAATCCCCGCTTCGATTTCGAAGCTCAACAGCAGCGGTGACTCGTACATTGCACCACCTATTGATTCTAAAACAATGCACAAGTAAATCCTCAGATTCCAGGAGCAACAGTTGCTATGATTCTACGGAGCTCTCAATAGTTCAAACATATCAACAGTTCAACAGAAACAAACTCCAAAATCATATTTGAGGAATGCCCTGTGTGTTACAATCTGTGGGTCACTCTACAGCGCTAAACGTATCGAACTTTTTGCGCCCAAAACGGTCCCGCCTTGCCGTGCTCACCTCGCGCAGTGGACTGGACCCCAACGAAAAATGGAACATGGGAAAACCACAGCAGAAAAACATGAACACAATGTGTTTCATATGTCATCTGTGGTCGTCCCATGTATTGCGATGTTTGTTTGATTTTGTGAGTGCAAGTCTACCACCACACATGGCCTCTTTAACATGGTGTCTTTGTGCGAGTCTCCGTCGTGGTTTAGTGCCCGTGTGAGCCTGCCAAAGAGTCTCAAGCTAAAAGGCCGCCTTTTTGCCTTCCCGGGTGCAGCAACATCATTGGCTGCATTGGCTGGCTGCGGAAGAGACATGTTCGAAGCTCAACCTCTCGGAGCACAATTGATCAGCCACCAAATAAATACTCTAGAACGTCAATCTCTCCTCGCAGGATTTTGGAGAGCCCAGGCCCAGTCTTGTTGATGAGGAGAAAGGAAAACGCAGTCTCCGGATATTTGTTCACAACGGCCTCCATATCCAGGGCATCGCTGAGGTCATCGCCGGTTTGATAATAGTGATCCTCCAAGTAAAGCAAATACCGTTCGAAGGTTCTTCTCTGGTGCTTGTGCTTCACATTGTCCAATTTCCCATCCAGCTCAGCCACGGCTGTTTGTGTGAATTTCAGCATGGTCCGCGTCACCTCCATATGCGGGACATACTGAGGAGCTACAAACTTGAACGCTGGATGAGGCTTGTAAGAAATATGAATTGGGTAGGCTCGAGGATTCCCAAGCATCTTTGCAATCTCCTTTTTGCTGCCCATGCTCACTTCTCCTTGGCTACTGGTGAACTTCAAACACCGGTTGTCCAGCGACTGTGGCGAGATGCCTGCAGCGAGCATATTCCAACTTAGCATCTCCCCGAAGAGCTCCTTCTCAGATGCCTCCATGGTGAATTCAAACTCTCCGCTCATGGTGATACCGCTCTCAATCCCATGGCCCCAAGCTTTTCGAACTGAATGTGGCACTGTTCTGGCCGCCTCCAGCTCACAAGGAGCGATGCTTTCCGGACTGTTGGCGCCCAAGGAGGCTTCTGAGGGAGCTTCAGGGCCCTTGGGCGTTGGAAAGGGTAGGTCTCCATCCCGGAGGCGCACCTCCATGGTGCGCTTGCTGGCCACATTGGTGCGGATGAGGTTCCGGAAGTCGGTCGAGAACTTGAGGCTGCCGATCTTGCACATCGCCACAGGCTGCCCACCTCGGGGCAATGCTAGGTAAGCTTCTTTCAGCTGGCGATCTTCATCAGCACTCACATCCACCCATGCCTTTCTGAAGGGGCACCGGTACTGCCAATGACTGCCTTTGACAAATGCCATAGCCAGCGTGATGCCATGAGGGCAGCTACGAGACACCTTCACTTAGCAATCTGTAATCGGGTTGATCCAGAAAGCGTGCAAGGTGCAAATATATATATATATATATTTATCTGCTGCAGTGCAAGTTCCACTCACCATGTTTGAGAAGTGTGGCTCAACCCCCGACTTTGTTCCATGAACTCTTTCTACATAGGACATCGTAGGACCACACTGGAGAACTTGATGCCAGGAGAACTTGATGCCACTCCATTTTTGAACACCGCACGCGATGGCGAGAACACGATGGTCCAACTTTCAGCTTTGCTTCGGTGATAGGCGAGATTTCACGCCTTTGGCCGACCAGTGGCTGAAAAGGTTCCAGTGGCAAAGCCCATATCTTGAACTGCGCTTCCAAGATGTGCAGCGGCATCCTGGTCAAATAAGGGCTGGAACATTCATGCTCAATTCAGAGAGTTGGACAATACTAGTCGTCTGGCTCCCTGACGCACCTGACAAGCTCTAAGCTGGCAATACGGCGCTGTGCCACGTTTTGAGTCAAACACCGAAAGAGTGAAGAGAGAGAGAGAGAGAGAGCAGGGACATAAAGGAGAAACACCGTGAGTACTACCGTGAAGTGTGTGAGAGCCAAGCGACAAGGTGGAGAGAGAGCGGATAGTGCGCAAATGTGCGCAACAAGCTCAAGCCAAAGGACCAAAAGGTCCGTCGAAGCTGAGCTAGGGCAATGAGGGACACAAATGGACAAGCTACCCACCACCCATCCATCTCAGTTGGACTTTGCTTCACATTTCAAAAACATTGCATTGAAATGCATTTGAACATGACCTGTCGGGTCCTTGTACAAATTTCCTTTGATGCCTCGCATCGTCTCCTCAAGAAACAGTGTTTGATTGAATACAGCCAGACTGCCTGTGACAGAGGCACAAGCGCAGCAAGAATGCTCAGCACCATCCTCAATCGGAGTGCTTGCCAAGTGTCGCGTGTCTTCTGGTCTTTGCCTTTGCTTTTCAAAGACTTGGCGAGCTCCATTGCGGCATCGAAGAGGTCAGAAGGCGGTGGCGTCGCCTCCACTACACCTCGGACCGTAGCAAAAGCATGTGAAAGCCTTCAGGCTTCGTGAGAACGCGTCAACAACAAAACATCGCTAGATTGAATCCATGTGGCCATGTTTGAGGAGGTCCTCAGATTTGTACCTCTTGCCCATGCAAAGCACGTCCTTGATCCAAGCAGGCAACAAGAAGCCTTCAAGAACTGCATGGCCAAGAATGTACATAAGGCGCATAGGTGTAGGAATGTGCAGCGCAGAATGCACATTTCGGGTACAACGTGCGTGTATGTATATATATCAAGTGGTCTGCAATGCTGGAAAGCCACATGCTTTCCACGATTAGAATGAAAGCCAGGACGCTGTCCACATTGGAAGGGGCATCTTTGCCTTCCTTGGCTCGCAACTACGTTACGATACTATCCCTTAAGTTTGCACTGAAGCTTTGCATCTAGAAACATTGAAAGGCATTCTGTTGGATCTCACAGGCCCTGAAGGGCCGAATGGTGGGAGCTTTGGGGGCACTGTGGTGAATACACATGACCTTGCATGACCTTGCATGACCCCAGAGCTCCCAAACAAATGAATCAAACAATCGAACAAGGCGGCCAGAGTTCATGAGTTCCGTCATGCCAGGAGAATAGACCAAACCAATGTCTATGCCGGGAATGAAGAATAGACCTCATCCACAAAACAAAGAGTGAGCTCCATCGTGTGTCTTCGATTCTGACAAACTGGCCCAACTGGCCCAATAAGTCCTAGCCTATGCTTCGTCTCTATGTTTCTGCAAAGTGTCTTTTGGAATCAGCTGGCATCAACCGCTTGTCAAAGGACAGTCCCAGCATTGCCCCTGCTGCTGTCATGTGCCCATTCACTGCTGCAACCGTCGGCATTCCCAGAGTCAGAATGCCTTGGGCACATTCACCAAGAGTGAGGATCGTAAAGTGGGTTCATGGGCTCTCTCTCTCTCTCTCTCTTCCCGGTCATTCTAGATTCAATAAAAGAACCGTGTCTGGCCGTCTGGGTGATGGGCTCTAGCCAAGTATATATATATAATATATATATATGTCTTTTTATCATTGTCTTGAACATTTCAATTATGTTATGAATATAAAGCCGTGCGGAACCCATGTGGCACCCATGCCCCCTTCAATTCAATCTCAAGCTCTTTCCACTGCTTTCACCCCACTCTGCTCGCTCCGCTCCGTCTTGTCGACAACTCGAAAATCACTCCATGTTACGTCTCATCAAGTTCTCTGCGTCAGTCTGAATCTCAGTGGACTGGCTGACATGCGCGGAGATGTACCTGCGAGAATCCATGAGATTCTGATAAAACCAGTATATACTTACATGCAAATTGAAGTTGCAGTCGAAGCAGCTGAAGATCCATTCCATTGCAAAAAAACTTTCCCTCACCTGGCAGCTGCTTGTGCTCGAAACGTTGCATCCGCATGTGGCTCATGACGGCAGTATCTCTCCACGAACCATCTCTCAGCAAAAGTTCCGTCTTTAAATTTTCTGTTGACCAGTGCTATGAGAGGGCGCTGGACTTACTGCAATGGATGACTCTTTGCAAGGCTGCGGTGTCCCCATCAAGAATGCAAAAGGATGGGAAAGGGTACCGCCGGCATAGCCAAAGGATGGCCCATCAGCCATGCTCACAGGTGTTTTCCCACAAACTCAGGCTACGTCAATCTCTGCACAGGGTGCCTGTCACCAAAAGCGCTTGAACACCAGCGTTTTCCGCTTCATCCAGCGCCTGGTTAACCTGAGAGATAGCGGCAACGAATGGCCATGTTCAACCAATGTCTTTGTGTTCTGGGTTGCTCCGGGTTATATCATGTTCTATCTGCTGACTAGGTCCTGACTAGTGACTGCTACTGGCAGCTTGTGGTCTGTCACCTGTATGACTTACCGGGACTTGTGGTTAAACATACTGGTTGGGTTTCCCCTTCCACCCAAAAATTGCCTGAGTTTCTTTCGAAAAACCTGCCTGCAATGCTACATTTTTCATCTCCGTACATCCGTCACATCGGCAAGCTGACGAACAAATGGAAACAGCAGCCTGCCTGCTTGATGAGGGATGGATTGATGCGATGCTCCCACACTCGGGTGCCCCAAGAGAATTGACCTTCTGGTGAGAGAAATCGAACCTGGCCAGGATTGACGGCACGGAAAATACGTGCTTTTCCCATGTCACACACAGACACGCACAACGGCAGCCATGAACAAGGTAAGAATATCACACGATCACCCGATCTCAAGAGGTCCTTTTTTTGTACACTTCGTTGTCTGGGGCACGATGACTTTGATACATCCTGGGCGCCCAACCACCGCGACATTGTCGACGATTTGCGTGCTCAACAAGCTCATGTCATCCCCTGGCGCCAGCACAAACACCACGACAAGGAGCCCGTCGCTCTTCGTGGTGTTCGACAACCCCGCACTGAAGCTCAAATGGATGCCCCCACGGAGGCTCAAATTGTGCACAACTGAAGCTGCAATCGTTGAGGCCCCGACTCACGGAGGAGAAGCTCCGTTGGCACCCTGGCGAGGTCCCGAGGCGCGGCACTGGGAGACCACAGGCGTCAGAAAGAACGACGCACACACCTCCTCAGGTCAACGAACACAGCATGCCGTTTTGCGGGGTCTGAGTGGGGCAGTTCATGGTTGGGGCCACCTGGGCCAAGACCAGCCTAGGCATCTGCGCCAAGCGCTAGCGCCACAGCGAGATGACATCAGCCGTGCCTGCGGGGCAAACCCACACATGCGTTGCATGCCCCGGGTGTGTGCGAAAGGCATTCACATTCACATTCATGCCCCAAGTCGGGTATGAGTGCTGAGATGTGCTGAGCCTTGACATATCTTGACCACGCATGAGTGAAAAGGAGAATCTGAGAAAGCAAAAACATGCAAAACAAGGTCGAGATGTTGATAATGACCCAGTGATGTTCAACGTTTCTTTTTCAGGTCTTTGCGTGGTCTTGTACACTTCACCCAGTCTTTGCCACAGACGTGCCTTACAGTCGCAAGCAGACGTATGTCCAGAGTCTGTGACTAACAGTTCGCGCGGCAGTGTCTTTCCCGCCAATCTGTCTGGGTATAGACTTGAACTCGCCCAAACAATTGGTCAACACATGGACAGGTGCCCGCAACACTCGCCCCAACACAGACTGCGTTTCCAAGACTTCAGGTCTTTGCGTGGGGTTTGTTTAGCCAAGTCGACTAGTGAATTGCATTTTGCAGTGCTTTAAAGCAGCATGTTCAAGCCCAATTGTCCCTGCAGCATTTGGCCCATGACTGAACACGGTTTTCAGGACACGATCCTCCTTGAGACAAAAAAAGTGGAAACACAATCACTGCAACAGCCGCTTGCACTACAACCCACCAAAACATCAGTCACTAGGACATCCCCTCGAACATATCGGTGTACATGATAGGTTTGAACATGTCTATGCTGGAGGCGATGAAAGACCATATCTATGTACATGTGTGCTATACTTGGTGTCACATCATCCGCGTGTGCTTGAATCTATGCACATCCCGCAGCAAGTCCATTCCACTACACCATGATCCACGCAGCAATGTCGTTCCCGTAGCATCCACAACCAAAACGCTCTTGCCACTGGCCCTGCGGACATAGCCCAAATGCCGCCGTATACCACACAAATCTTGTAACAACGCGCGTTTTAGCCGGGTCATTGTGAGCAAAAACAAGAAGGCATGGTCTTTGGGAGGCATCCGGACATTTTAAAAAAATAAGGCAAAGGAACGCATGGTCTGGTAAAAGTGCATATCCCTACTGAACTGCTAGATGAGTGTCAACGTGCACTGCCACTTGTTTGAACGAGAGTCGTATTAGACCATGGATTCTAGTAACAAGTGCATCGCTTCTAGTAACAAGTGCCTTACTAGTAGTAACAAGAAGCTATTAGAAACAATAAGCTACTAGTAACAAGTGCACCGCTTCTAGTAACAAGTGTCTTACTAGTAGTAACAAGAAGCTAATAGAAACAAGAAAGGCTATTAGTAACAAGTGCCACGCTACTAGTAACAGGTGCCTTACTAGTAGTAACAAGAAGCTATTAGAAACA